GTGAACTCTCCACCTCCTGCGGAACAGGTCAGTCTTCAGCAGGGCCGAGCGCACTCTGTCACCGTCTTACCAAATCCGCTTTCTCTTCCACCTTCCACGCTACTCAATCACTTGTTTGGACTTTGGATGTCTTTAGCACTTGAAATGTTTTAGCATCTCCTATGCAGTGCTAAAGTTCTCAAAATTTATCTAATCCTGCATTTTTGCCTTCTTTTGTTCAGCAGGATCGTGCATGTGCATAATTTATGGATAGCCTAGTGAAACACAGGCACATCCAACTCTGAGATCTCAACTTCAATGGTTGTGCTGTTTCCACCAGCCCCAAAGGACTGAAAAAGAAAGCCATTGAGCATTTTTTTTTTTTTTTCATTTAGACTGGGTGCTTGATTTCCCATAGTACTAATTTGTTATAGAATTAGAGGAGAGAATTTGTTCTGATTTGCATAATTAGGTTATAATAGCTAATCATTGGGCATTTCACAGTAGAGATAACTCAGTAACTGTGTTATTTTATCTCAATTTAAAAGGGAAGTTATTCTGCCTTAATCACTGAAATCAATCTCGATCTTTATATATGAAGATATTAGAAGGCTTATCAAAGGGGAAAAATCAATATACATTTAACAGAATTGCAAACATTGATGAATCATATGATATTTCTACACTATATATGAAAGTTTAAGTTTGTAATTTGAGTTCATTAACAATTAAATTGTGGCAATTCAAATAAAGAAATGCTTTTTATGATAAAAGTTAAGGCATAAAGAAACGTTAGAATAAGACATGAAACTATGCGTATGTAGACTAGTATCTCTTTCAAGTCAAGGAAAATCAATAGAGATTTTTTTTTTTAAAGTATGTTTAGTACAGGGTCTGCAGGGGCTCACTACACAGATTGGACTGGTGGTCTGATCTCCTGATCCTCCTCTGTTCAGCCTCCCAACCGCTGGGACTGCAGGTGCACACCACCACTCCGGGTCTCAATGGCTGTCTCAGCACACCCCGGGGGCAGGGCCAGCTTGGCATGCCGGGAATTCAACCCTGGTCTTTGTAGGTGCCTAAGCAGGCACTTTCATCTGCTGAGCTATCTGCCTGGCCCTAATAGAGTTTTGTTTATAGAAGAACTTATTAAAAGCTTTTACTGTCCTCAGCATGGGGGTACCTTAAAATTCCAATATTGATTTCTCTGTGTACCTTATGAAAATGAATCTGTTCATTTTAGTCACATATTTTTTTTTAGATTAAAATCTTCATAATGTAAAAAGATCTGATGATGTTATAAATTATAGAGGCCTAAGTTAAAAATGAATCATATGTTAAGAGATAGATAGATATTATGAGCACATCAGGAATACATTCATTGTGCTTAGTTTGCACATGCACATGTCACGTTGTACTTCTTTTGCTGTCCCCTTCTCCTCCTTTCTCCCATCCTCCATCTCGTTGTCCCCTTTCCATTTATTGAAGATCTACTGTCCTATTTCCCGTTGTCTATCTTTTGTTTTGCTCTTTGATTTATTTATACTTTGTGCTTCTGAAATAAGAGAAATCATATAATTTTTATTTCATTGAATGTGGACTCAATGTCTATCCATTTTCTTACAAAGGTCTCAAATTTATCCTTCTTTCTGGCAGAGTAGTACTCCATTATGTATAAATACCATATTTTATACATAATCTATTGAACATTGCTGGCCATATAGATTATTATGAATTGTACTATTTAGCTATTATGAATTTAGCTATTATTTAGCTAAATTAGCTATTATGAATTATTTAGCTATTATGAATTGTACTTCTATAAACATTGACATCTGTGCATCACTATCTTATCCCTACTATTTTTCTTCCTTTAATCTTCTTCTGCCTACCTTCCTGCTGCCTAGCTAAATAGCATAACTCAGCAATTAGGTTTCTTTTGAATTTAAGAGAGAGAGAAGATGAGGGCCACAAAATTAAGGGAAGAGAAAAAAAAATAAGAAAGGAAGATGAGCCGTGCATTTTCCTATTAAGGCTCAGATCCATTTCCTGGCCCATTCTGCCTTTGTTCTGAGCTACAAGGAGGACCCTTGCAACTCTATTACTCAAATTGTCCTTTTACACATTTCAAGATCCCTTGGTCGGTGGGAAACCAAGGGCAGAAGGAAGAATGAATCCAGAACATTCCATCCCCTGTCCGCCTCTGCTTGGTCATCACAAGCAGTGGCTGCATTTGCCTCCGCACTTCAGTACTCCATTAGGCAATAAGTGCCGGTTTCTGCCAGGAAGCCACAGTTCTTAGCCATAAAAATCCATGTGTTCCTCGAACGCCACCTCTCCTACTGTCCTTCCACCTCCCTCGGCTTCCAAAGCCTCTGTCAGCAGTATACTAGTGACCTCCACTAGCTTCCTTCTCTTTCAAAATTTTGAGACGATTTTTATATTTCTGGCTGAACCACGGCTGACACAGAAAATACATATATTGGAAGAGGGAAAAACAAGAATAAATCAGTTATTTAGGTTATCAGAGTTCCTGTCTTTAGACCAGGTGGAAAGTGGTAAAGAAAACAGAAGGTGAATGGGTGTAAATAGTTAGCACTGTCATGTGCGTGAGCTTCCAGTATCTTTTCATTGGCATAGGTGAAGAAACCAATGTTTAGAGAGGTAGGTCTTTACTGACAATCACATTGTAATCACATGCTGAGGAAGGAATTTGAATCCAGGCATCATTCCAGAGATTTTCCCCCTGGAATATGCTTCCTCTCTTGACAGCATGGGTTACATTCATCGTTATAGAAGGATTCAGGAGAGGAAGGTAGGAAAGTAATACATATCCTGTAAGTCGAGATCCTAGCTTGTGCCGCAACCACGTCAAGTTTAGCTGAAAGTGGCTCTTCTCCTGCGTCAGCACTAGTTTATCTTTAGAGATGCACGTTCAGGATTTGTGATGGCCAAAGAAGAAACAGGCTTGGGAATCAAAGGTGCATACAAAAATCACCCGTCTCAGTTGCAGTCTCAGCGTGTCCTGGGGGCAGGGCGGGGACAGCAGGCCCAGGAATGGAAGAACCCTGGCCCCTGCACCTGGGCTTTAATCTGCTGAGCCATTTGGTCAGCCCTCCCCATTAAAATCTCTTAGTGGTTCTGCACAGCACTCAGGATGAGGCACATACGCCTTGAGCTGTGTACAAGACTCATCGCTTCTGTGGCTCCCAGCTTCACCTACCACAATTCAGACTGACACACCTTTTTCTGCGATGAGCTCTTTCATCCTTGGGCTGCTGGACTGAGCATTCTCACTACTCCTAACACTCTTCCCCAGCTCACACTCCTTTTTAACCCATGCAGATCTTTCACAACCCAGCACAAACAATTCCCTTCTCTGGAATCTCTTCTTACTCCACCTCATGCCCGGGGCTCTTTCCTTGAAGTTCCTGTTCTGGGTTCCCACACCACCAACTGCATACCTTCTCCTACTATCAGCACTCAGCCGACTGAGAGGCAAACGCACTGTCTTCCCCTCTCTATGTTACTTCCTGGAGGGTAGGGAGAGCCCTGTGTTCACGCTACATCTCCATGAGCGAGTCCTAATCCACTTCCCAACACCAGCCTTACACTGAAACTCAAAAGGAACAAATAATTTCTACTGGTTTTCTATTGCTTCATATTTACTCATAAAGCTTAAGTTCTACTTTCGTACACTTATTTTTCTTCAGCTGGTACTATAATCCACTTAGCAAAAAATAGATGGTCAATCAGAGAACTCTAGACAATAGGACTCCATCATTTGTGAAGTGATAAACCCCAAACTTGGCTTTCACTAACAAAGGATGCTGGGCAAAGGATCTGTTAACAATTTGGGGAGAAGGTCAGCATACCACCCCTATACCACCCCTATACAGGAAGATGACATAAAGCCCTAAACCTAGGTGCTTCTCTTTCCACAGGATAATACTTTCTTTATAGTGGGATTACAGATGAACAAAGAAATTATTTGCTCTTTACACAGGTCACTTTAAGTTCAGAGGATCAGGATGAGCAGCTTTTCTTACACCTGTCACAGAGAAAATCCCGCTAACAAAATGTCTATACATTTGCCTCTTGGATAGTTTAATAGTTTAAAAGAGAGCCCATTCTCCACTCTGGCTAGGTCCCATGACACTCAACAACCAGGCACCAGAAAGAAAGTGAAACGATTCTTTTCTGAAGCACTTCCCATTACTAGAATTATGTACTGGGGCTATCAACGGCCCAGCAAGCACTTTGGCAGGTTAAACTGAGTAATGGAATTGGGTGGTAGGCAGGTGACAGCTTTGCCCATTTTAAGATAAACTTCAGGTTCCTACTGACAAGAGTTCTTCACTCTGCCTTTCAGCTCTAGATTAAGCATGAGAAGGTCCTAGGAAGACACCAGTTGCAATCAGAGTGACATTTTCACCATACACTTCTCATGTTAGAGCCACTCAGAAAGTCTGTTATCAGGGCCAGCCATATAGCTCAGCAGGGGGCCAGGGAGATAGCTCAGTAGCATAAGTGCTTGCCTGGCAAGCGCAGGGTCCTGAATTCAATTTCCAGTACTGAAAAAAAAAGAAAGAAAGAAAAGACAAATGGCCCAGTGGACTAAAGCACCTGCAAGCAGGCACAGGGACCAGGGGTTCGATCCCTAGGCCTGCCATGCTGTCCCTGCCCTTCAGGGTGAGCTGAGATGGCAATTGAGAGTGGGTGTGGTGGTGCATGCCTATAATCTCAGCTCTTTGGAGGCTGAAAACAAGTACATTACTACAAGTCCTATCCAGTAGTGAGACCCTGAACACCCTGTAGACCTTCCTCTAAAATACAAAAAAAAAAAAAAAGTCTGTTATAATTTCAGTATTAGCAACTGAGTCTCTGAAAGCTACTGGTAGAAGTACTGAAGCTCTGTCTTTCTGATTTGCTTCTGTGCCCAGGGTCACAGCATAGTGCCCAGAATCCCTAAGTCCAGGGGTGAGGTGGCAATGCGCAATACTCAGAACAGGAGGCCAGCGTTTGTGCTTTTTCATATTCTTTATTGCCAACAATTTAAAATGACCAACATAAAAAAATGAACATTTTGATAATAAATACTGCTCTTTGGGCTGTAATAAATAAAAAGTTTATTAACAAGGAATGCACTTCTCCAGCCACAAGTGTATTCAAAAATAACAAAAAAAAAAAAAAAAAATTGTATATGGCCATAGTTCACAGTTAAGCAGCCAAAAGCTGCACCAATTGCAGCCTTAAACAAGATGGGAGTTTCCTCCCCTCTCCCCTCCCCTTCAGGAAGTATATTCACAGTTCCAAGTCCTCTGGCTGAAACGCTCTCAACAGCGAGAAGTTAAGAGTCAATGAACCTTTCTGCAGAATTTTCTGAAAAACTCTTTCGCGTCAGGTATCTCGAGGGCAACTACTTTCTGTTCACTCGTGGACTGTCCCAAGTCAAGACCTGTACACCTCGGCCTGGTCTGGTTCCAACCAGTCCAGCAGGCCATAGAGGGATTGTTTTCGTACCACCAGCTGTCTTTCTTCTTCAACATGCTCTAGGTCATTCAGCTGGTTTCCCTGTTGATCTCACAGTGGAAAAGAGGAGTCCCATAGGGTCCATTGGAGAAAGCTTTCAGTTACATCTCTGTAAAAGCATGTTCAGGGCATATTCCATTCGGTTCTTTAGTTCCGATGAACAACCAGACATCAGCAGAGTTGTCAGTCTAAGAGTCGTCGATATCCTGTCTTCATTGATGTACGTGAGAAGGTATTCTTCATTTTGGCTGCAGATGATGATCTTTGTGTGATCATGGTAGAAATTCACCTTAAGAAAGGAAAAGAGATATTAAAGCTCTCTTTGTCATCAAGAATTAAGACAGTTCAGTCAACTGAACTGGATAGTTATAAGTAAGTTTTAGGCCCTTAACATGTACTTCTGCAGAGAGTTCAATTACCTGAAAGGTGCCATCATTGAAGAGCATCATTAAGGCCTTATCAGACTTTAGCCACTGAAGGAGGTAGAGCCGAGGTCTTCGAATATCAGTAACACTAGGGAGATCACCGCCCTGAAAGAAATAAAGAGGTGTCACTGCCTATGCAGACTGCATAGTGTGCGCCACGCTCTTCTAAGCCAATGCCTCTCCAACTAAAGCAAGCGCAAGAGTGGTCTGAAGACTCCTGCCCCTGCCTCCCAGAGACTCTGAGTTAGTGATCTAGGGCAGGACAAGAGCATCTGCGACTCTACCAAGCTTTGTCCGGATGCCGGTGGCACTGCTGTGCACACCACCCTGCATGTCCCTGACCTGAAGCCACGGTGCTTACATCCATGAGGTTCTCCTCCATGTAGTGGGAGAAGTACTTCAGCACCGTCACTTGACTGATGAATTGTTCGGGGGCGTCTGTTGCCGGGAACACGGAGCACTGCCCAAGTTCGGCGTAATAGTGAACGGTTCTAAACAGCAACAATGACAAGAGAGAAAAAGAGAAACAGCGGTGAGCTTTTGGTTCAGATTTCTTTAGTGCAAAGTAGAAAACAGACAGGCGGCATCATCAGGAACACCTACTTTTTGTCCGGAAGGAGGCTCATGTGAGCTCCGTTGTTGAAAAGGACTCCAACCGTGTGGTCTGAGAGCTGGTAGCCGAAGCCATACTTGTTAGAGTAGTCGACCCACTTGGTGACCCACTGAAACGACGTGCTCAGCTGCTCCTTGGGAATGGAGTCGGCTTCTGGCATATTTCCTAGACACCCTCGAAGGACTCTTGCCACGGTGTCTGCAACACTTCCCATAGTACTATCTTCAAGGCCTAAGAAGTCAGACAGCGGCAGAAGTTACAAGACGTTTAACAATAAAACCTTCGCTTTGCTAAGGACTGAATTTCTCTTCACTGCTTCTAAAGACTTAGATTTTTATCCCTTTCCAATTCCTCTGCTATTGCTTCTGTGTTAAATTAAGCTACAAAGCACACTGATTTTGCTTACTATATACCAAAGTATCATAATTGTATTACTTAAAATATGATTAACACCCACTTACACTCACTGCTACTGCTACAGCTGCCGAGTGTCCCTCTGACTATCATCCGAATGGCATCACCAATCTGCTGCTTGTTTTCCACCGCAGGTGCCCCCGATCTGGCCACTGTCATGGTAGGTGGCTGGAGTTCCTTACAAGAGACAGATTATGCAATGAGCTCAATATTTCAATTCATTTACGGCCAAGACTCCAGATTAAGATGAGTTGATGGCAATTGCAGGGAAAATTAATCAGAAAGCAATAGACACCAGCTGGGTAAAAGATAGCAGAACAAGCCAAGCGCATGCGTTGTTAAAGTAAAAGACAGTACCTTCCCTTCTGAAGAATTAGAAGTATTTAGTAAATGCAACATGCCTCAGTGGCATAAACGTGCTAATTAACAGGGATTGGAAATGGTCTAGTGTGTGCATATCCATATTATGCTTTTGCAATATACCTCATCTGTCCTATGTTTGCTTGGTTGCTGAGTTATTGAAGTCTTTTTCAAATCATGCCTAAGCTTGTAAATGTCTTCATCTTCTTTAGACACTCTATCTGTAAATCAAAGAAAAGTATTAAGAGTGTTAATCTACATCTAAACAAGGCAGGAACTGAGCTAGTCATTTTGACTAGCTTACCAGCATTTCAGGCAAAACCAGCATTTTATCAGTGCGATCAATGGAAACTTGTGCAGAAGGCACACTTTAATGTTTACAAAACAAAAGGCTGTCAATCCCCTTTGGAGGTGTGCATTTCCTAGGCCAGAAACATCAAAGGTCAATGGTACTACACAAACACACTGTCTTAAGTTTTGCTAAGTCTTTTAGAACTCATTTATCAAGTTTAAATGTAATACTAGAAGAGAAGTAGAACTCACTGTGTGTATCAATATATCTTGCTTTGTCTTTCTTGCCACCAAAAAGAGCTGCCGCAGCTTTCTTAAAAAAATTCTTAGCAGGGCTTGATAAATGGAAATCTGGAACAGTGTGACAACAGCTCGAAGAAAGTCTGTCTGGAGTGAAGCCCTGTGGAGTATCAAGAAAAGACCTTTAGTAACCTGTCAGGCAAGTGCCACTAACAACACGAGCAAGAAAACAGAAGCTACTGCACCAACCTGCAGAAAAAAGTCATGTCGCATGATGTCATCCAAAGTGGGCCTGTCCTCTGGGTTTTTGGACAACATGCTAGCGATTAAGTGCTTCGCAGGAGCCAGCAAGGACGATGGCATCGTGTACCTCGCTTCTCTTATACACCTGTAAGTCTCTTTCAGATTTGTCGTTTCAAAGGGAGGCCTTCCTAGCAGCATCGTGTACCTGCAAAGAGACAGAGTTTTAGGAATGGTCCTAAAGCAACTGTTTTTTGAATGTCAAAATCTGAACTTCATTTACTTTTTGATCATTCCAGTGCATTGACTTACATTACACAGCCTAAGGCCCAGATGTCAGATTCACAGCCGTGTCCTTGTTTGTTGAGGACTTCGGGAGAGAGATAATTTGGGGTACCACATATTGTTCTGAAAAGAAAAGCACCAAGATCTCGTTAGGCACTTCTCCATTGTTTAAACTATGGGAAAGAAAGTACTAGATGCCATTTCTGTTTGGCAAAACTCGATCTGTGCTGCTTGAATAACTGAGTTTTGCTCATTCTGTTACAGTAACATGCTGCTTTTACAGCCCATACTGAGACTAGGGACAGATGGCACATTTTTATGTATTTCAAGCAAATATATAAGACTGCTTTGTTTTAATAATCAATGCAGCAGAAACATAAGATTTCCTGATCCAGTTTGAGCAATTACTACTTGTTTGTTTCTACTACAGATATTGTTGTGGTTTACAGATTAAATGTCAGCCAGGCTTCTCTAAAATATTAGCTGGAGAATAATGAAGTGTGTGTGGTCTTCTCAGCATGCTGGTGGGATGTCTTTCTCTTACCTCCTTCTGTGCTCCAAAGGCTCCAGCCTGGCGGCCAAACCAAAGTCTCCAACTTTTAATTCCATGGCTTCATTAATAAAAAAGTTCCCTAAACGATAAAACAAATGTGATTCCCACAATGAGGTCTTCTAGTGAGGTACACACGCATCTGCTCTGAGGGTGCAGGCAGATGCGCCATTAAAGTCTACCCATTCAAAGGCAAGGTTGAGCAAGAGCAACCCCGATGAAAAGCACTGCTAAGAAAAATGGGACCGAGAAAAAGAAAGCCTACCCCTCCAGCCCATCCATCAGCTCACCTAGCTTGAGATCTCTGTGCAAGATTTCTTGTTCATGAAGGTATTTCAGGCCAGACACGATTTGCCTGAGGTAGTATCGGACTTCCGGCTCTGTCAACACCTTTCTTGCTTTTAATATATGAGCCATTGACTGAGAAGAAAAAGAAAAGAATGCATCAAACAAAGTTACCAAAACCAGTGATTTCCTTTTACAGGAGGAGTTATGAAAACTGACCCCCTGGTATAATTAACTGCCACGGCTGAGATAGAGAAAAAAATATAACCTCAGTAGGTCAGCATTTGAGAAGCAAAAGTACCGAAGCAGGACTGAACACTCACCCTTCTGCTGCAGTATTCCAAGAGAATGTAAATGTTTTCTTTGTCCTCAAAGTAGTGGTAAAACTGCACTACATGTTTATGATGAAGGATTCTGTGAAGCTCTATTTCTTTGTCGATCTAAAAGAACGCACAAGGTAAGGCTTATTAGCTTTTCAGCCTCTCTGCTTCCACAGGCAGAAGACATTCGTCTAACAGGGTAGGGCCATCCCTTCACACAAAGAAATACTTTCCTTCCTACTCACACACACCTTTTCCCTTTGATGAGGTTTTGCTACTCGGCTGTGAGGAATAATTTTTGCAGCGTAGACTTTGTTGTTTGTCAAATCTGTCATTTCATAACATTTTGCAAAACCACCCTGAAAGGAGACAAAGCAGAGATGGCATTGAGCATGGCAGGAAAATAATAGTAATAATAATAATAATAATAATAGTAACAACAACAATAAAAGAGGGTCGATGTTTAAAATGAATAATAAATAGATGGCAAAACACCGGAGAAGGGAACAGTGGACAGATACAGTCTACTTTGTAAAAAGGTCCACCCCAGAGGGAAACTCATTCCTGGACACAGCAGATCCAGTTTCTCTTCTCCCTTTACAAAGGAGCCGCTTTATGAGGGGGGTGGGATGGGGAGAAGCGGAAAAACGAGGTGCGGAGAGACGTGGCAGGGAAATTCCCTGGGGAGCAGGTGGAAGGCGCTGCCGGGTCGGCCGCAGCACGCCTCGCTCGAGGCTCGACACCGGGACCTCGGGCCGCGGAAGGCAGGCCGAGCCTCCGAGAGAACCGCAGCGACCCCCGCGCGGCCGGCGCCCCAGAGCCCGCCCGCCCGCCCGCCCCCCGGTCCCCGCCGCGCAGCCCCTCCGCCCGGCCAACGGCGCCCGCCGCGGTCACCTTTCCCAGCACTTTGCCGCGGCAGTAGCGCTTCCCCGTCGTGGGATCGACGATAATCCGCGAGATCTCCGGTCCCGAGTGCGAGTGGTGGTGGTGGTGCGCGCCCGCGGGGGGCCCCTGCGCCTGCGCCTGCGGCTCCTCGGCGGGCTGCTGCGGCCGCTTCTTCTTGGAGTCGCCGCCGCAAGCCTTGCCCAGCGCCTGCTCGCACATCTTGGTGCCCGCGGCCGGCTGGTAAGTGATAGTCCGCAAGAGCTCCATGGCCCGCCCCCGCGGCCCGCACACGCCCGCTGTCGCCCGCTGTCACCCGCGGCCACCGCCGGGCTCGGACGCGTCCCAGCCGCTCCGGCCCTCAAGCCCACAGCCCGCTCCGCCCGCACGGACGCCCCGCTCCACTTGTGCGAGTGCGAACGCGCGGCGGAGCCTTATATAGGAGCCTCGGGGGGCGGAGCCTCGGGGGCGGAGCCTCGGGGGCACGTCACGGCCCCGCCCCGCCCACCAGCCGCCGGGACCCGGGGCCGAGAGGTCGGGCTCAGCCGCTGCGGTCCTGCTCGGAGCTCAGCGCGCTGACCCCCGCTCGGTAGCGCTCGCCGCGACCGGCACGCCGGCAGGGGCGTCGGGCCGTCCGCGGGCCGCCACCGTTCTTGGAATGCGCCGAGCTCCGGCGCTGGAAACAGAACCCCGAGGGCCCGCCCCTCCCCCAGCCCGGCCGCCGCGGGCCCCTGACCACCCGGCGGCTCACCCCTGTGCCACCGATCGCACCCCCCCCTCCGCCGCGGGTCAAAGGTTAGGGGTCAGAGTGCAGCGGTCCCAGCCCGTCGCCCCTGCAGGACGAGGCAGCGCGGGCCTGGCACGGCACCCCGGAGGTCCCCGCGGCCCGCTGGCGTGGGCCTGTCGCTTCCCAGCTGCCCGCTGCGGGAGGGAGGTCGGGCCTGGTCCCCGGACGGCCGCGGGCCGGGAGCCTCCACGCCCCGCGGGCGCTGCGATGGGAGAGCGCGGGCGCCACCGCGTGGAAGTGCTCGGCGCTGCGCTGGGCGGTGCGCGCTGTGGTTGTGCCGCTGAGCTCATCGCGGACCTCTTCCGATGAGCGGTTACTCGGAATGAGGGGTTCAGACGGCCCTTGAAGCCGGCAGCTGTCTTGCTGCAGGGATTCAAGGCCGCCTGGGGTGGGGCCTGAGACAGCTTCTCAGATACTGAGGTCGACTTGCACTCCGAGCTTTTCGCTTGGCTTCGAGGTCCGTAGTCTGAACATGTTCACCGGTTTGAAGGGCCGTAGCAGTCCTAGGAGAAGTTGAGGGGTAAATAGTGCTGCTGTGGGGGAGGAAAACAGTTCTAAATTCCGGCTGGAGTCCACCCGACAGAAGAGAGTAAGTGAAGAAAAGCAAGCTTCTCGACACGTGCGTCTTACCTCCACGGGGGCTAGATACCCAGGGATACCAGGGAAGTGGGTGTCTACCTCTAATACTCAAGAGATGGATTAGAATTGAGGCTTGAATGTCACTTTTAGCTAAAGTGAGAGTGTACGGAAGGCACGTTAATAGAAAGCAATCAGGAAAACGAAGGCACATAAGAGTCAGGCTTGTTATTTCTTCACTGATAGGAGCGTCTTCTGATTTAAAGTTACTCTTTTCTTTCTGGTACAGGGAGATTTTCTTTTGGAGTGGAGATTTCTTTTAATAAAAGGTGGCGCATGCCTGTAATCCCAGCGCTGGGGAGGCTGACGCAGGAGGATCACTAGGAGTGTGAACTGCGTAGGGAGACCCTGTAACAAATAAATGAAAAAGAACTTTTAAAATGTAAATTTTCCTTTAAAAGGGGTAAAGAGCTTCTTTTGGGCTATTACTCAAAATAAGAATAATCCTAGGAACTGGGGAGATGGCTCAGTGGAATAAGTGCTTCCCCGGCAAGCGTGAGGGCCTGAGTTCAATCCCCAGTTCTGCCCCCCCCAAAAAAAGAAGAATCCTGATCCAGACTTTCATTTAAAGTGGCATGTCTGGTCTTCCGTGGTCATACTTGACATGCTATTCTTGTCTCCTGTGTTGTTTCCATTTTACAAATAAGGAAATTGGTGTTCAGAGAAGTTAGGTAACTATATGCACGTATAATTTTACTAGATGAACTACATTAATTGGAAGCACACAGAAGTCTTTCTTAATCTCGTCAAGAAGAAATGGTAGAGTGTTGCTGTTGGGTTCCACGAACTTCGGAGCACAGGCTGTGAAACCCCGAGAAGATACTTAGAAAATGCCTGTGCTGTAGCTCTCAAATGGAGGTTTGTACATTGTAGAAAGGCATCATTGTCACTGCAGAGTACAAAGGGAAAGTCACTTTCCTTCTTGGTGCTTGAAACAGTTCAGGGCAAGTCCAGGCATGATTCTCCTAAGTGACCCTCTATGTTAATCCCAAGATTATCAAAGTTTAACTAAGGGGCGGAGCTAGAGGTGAAAGGGAAGAATTACATAATCTCCTTATTCACAAACTTGGAACTGATCTTTGTTCCCTCCTTTTACCATTTTTGTTATTTTGTCGACTAATGAGCATTTCGTATGAAATGTAGAACTACCTACTAAAACATGCAGGCATTTAATGAAGTACTGACATTGTAAATTTTTGATGGCCTCTAACTACAAAAACCGAAATTTCTGGATTGTGGTGCCATCATGTGGGCAGCGTCGGAATTGCAACCTGTATAACAAAATGAACAAAAGTATTTTCTCCAGGTGATCAATTTTCATTCTCTGTAGATTTATACAGTCAGTGTATGTATTAGTCAGTTTTGTCACCATCATGATAGAGGGGAAAGAAACTGCCCACCTGAAAGATACTTGGGACAAGTTCCTGTTCTCTGAAACTGAAGAAGGCATTTTAGGAACAATGGAGGTTAAGATGGGACTTGTAGTGATTCTCCTGTTTTCAGCCTCCCAAACGCTGGGATTACAGACACACATCACCATGCCCAATCTCAGTCACTGTCACAGCACACCCCACGAGCTGGGCTGGCACAGCATGTCAGGGATCGAACCCCGGCTGCTGTGCTCTGCCTAAGCAGGTGCTTTAGTCCACTGAGCTATCTGGTTGGCCCAAGAGCAGAATATATTTATTGAGGGAAAGAAAGTTTCTGTCTGAGAGAGGGACAGAAGGGGACCCGAGTGGGTTGCCAAGGAATCTGCCATTTTAGGGACTTTTATAGAGCAAACCCATGAGGTGAGGTGGGTGTAAGGTGGGAAGCACGGGAACTCACTAGGTGGGTATGAAGTGGGACAACGCTGTGGTCAGCCAAGAAGATGACAAGCGTAACTGCTCAAGTAAAATTGAGTAAATTAGAATCACATAGGGAAGCCAGTCATGTAGCAAGCAAGCATGGATATAAAACAGGGACTTTTCCTGTAGGGAGTTGGGTTAGTGGCTCTCTCTGGATTTTTCAGAGTGACTGATACCTATTTAGAATATCAATCCCTGGGCCAGCCAAATAGTTCAGCGGATTAAAGCACCTGCAAGCAGGCACAGGGGCCAGGGATTTGATCTCTGGGCCTGCCATGCCAGCCCTGCTCCAGGGGCACACTGAGACAGCAATTGAGACTGGGCATAGTGGCGTGAGCCTGTAATCCCAGCTCTTGGGAGGCTGTAAACAGGAGAATCACTATGAGTCCAATCTAGTAGTGAGACCCTGAACATCCTGTTGACCCTTCCCTAAAATACAAAAAGAAAAAGAAAAAGATAGAATATCAATCCCTGATGCCCATCCTTAACGGAGATATGTGGCTGCATTTGTTTAAATCTTTTGTTTTGAGGTCTGGTCTGCAGTGGAGGTGCCTGACTCTCCCCCAGTTGCAAGGTCTCTGGCCTTCCATAGTGGGTCTCCTTTGAGAGCCTTGCCCTGTCTGACTGCCTACAGGATTTCTACCTAACTGAGCTGCCTACGACAGTTGAGACTCCATACCCAACAGTCACAGCTTAAGGTAGGAGAGCTTTGATTTATTTACAAATCCTGTGCATGATTGGCTCCAAGGCAGAGTCAATGTGGCAGGAAGGTGTGGGAGAGCTAGCTACTTAGTTTCTGGTGGAGAGGAACAGAAGCAGCCCACGTGACAACTCTGTGAGCCAACCGGATATGCCAAATCCACTAAGGAGCATGCCTTACTAATCTGCTAGGTTTTTCTTAACCAGAGATGCTGATATATTGGATTAGTAGTCATATTCTACTCCTTGGAAACTTCACAAACAAACACATCTCCTTAAATTATAATTAATTTTAAAATGCAGAAAATAGTTTATAATTCTGTCTAACATAATACATTTATTTGTAGCACAACAGGAAGTACAAAATTCCTCCCATAAAGTCTCAGCAGCCTCAGCATTTTTCTGAAGTCCAAGCCTAAGCCTCTTCTGAAACTCAATGAAACTATTGGCCTTGAGCCTCTGTAAAAATTAACAAATTAGTTGTATAATACCAAGGAACACATAATGCCAAGGTACACAAAGTAAATATTCACACTCCTGAAGGGAGAAATAAGAGGATTGAAAAGAATTAGATGAGAACCCTGTAGGGCAAACATTAGATCCTGTAGCTCCACGTCTGATATTTGGGGCCTACAGTGCTGATTCTAGGCATCTCGGGCAGCTTTACCGGTGGCTGCAGCCCCGTGGTCACAGCCCCGTGGTCTTTCTCTTCGGCTGACTCCATTCCGGAACTGCAGGTTTCCAGCAGAAGTTCCAGGTTTCTGACGTCTCTGACTCCCTGTGGTGCCCACGGTACATTCAGCTTCATTCAGACAGTGTCACGTACTGCGCGCTCGGGACTTCTTGCCTGGCCTCTCAGGCCTTCCTTGACAATGATTGCAGTCTTCTCGCAAGTCTCGGGATAGGGGCAAAGTGTAGGTAATTTTTCTATCGTAGGGTAACACGCATGGTCTCTAGTCTGAATGCCAACGGGCCCTTGTTTATGACCGAAACTTCCTAAGCGTGGTCTTTACTTTTGTGTTTCCAGCATTCCGGTCTTCTCAGTGTCAGTCAGAATCGCCCCGCAGCCTCTGCTTACTGTGTTCTAAGACTTCTCTGACCCCCAGAGCCAAACCTTTCCAAGTGCCTCTGCATCCACGCCAGAGGTCTCTAACCCACGTGGGCAGGTGTCATTCCAGCAGCAACTTCATTTCTCGAGTACTTGTCTCTCTGTTCCTTGGCTTTCCCATTTCTGGGTACAATGCCACAATCTCACAATTCAAAGTAGGAAAGATTTAACTTAGTTCACTGCTCCAGGAGGCTCAGTACGTGGTAGGCGTGCTCCAAGGCAGAGACGTTGCGGGGGATGCGCAAGACAGAGCCAAGTCGCTCAGCTCACGGTGAGCAGCGAGCTGCCCGCCAGGATCAGGGATCACAGTGCAGAGATAGTCGAATGCCAGTAGGGTAC